AGGGCAGATGTCAAATTCATTTCATACAATTGCTACATGTAGAAATCTATGTGGTCTTAGACTACCATACATTTATTTAAGGGAGGGAGACATTTGAAAATGAGTTTATATTAATGGGAAAGTGCAAAGAAACTTGCCAGTGTGTGCCAGCTCCATAGCCCATGGACAGTGAGCATTGCCTGCCTGTGCCAGTCAGATCACCAACCAACGTTACTGTGTAGGCCATTAAAGAAGCTGTTAATACTCTGGTTTAAAACCAATCTCAGCACAGGCCAGAGCAGCAGATTAAGCAGAACTTAACATCAGTGGCAGGTCTTCCAAGTTCTCTTGATGCCACAGAATTCATAAGTGGGATCAGTATGTTCTAAAAAAACATGGTACTGCAAAAGGAAAAAAGGTTCCACAGTACCATGCCGTGTAATACTTGAAACCTCATCATCAAAGTGACAGTTTTCAAGTGCCATTTATGATGCCCTAGTCTGGAAACATCCCAGCTAACCCATCTGATCAACAATTTCACAGATGGAAGCACTTGATGGCTAATTGGCAAGTCTATTATTCAAATAAAACAGCTCTCTGTACCTCTTCTTTCATTATTACAAGTCAAGGTACAACAAGGCTGGTCATTCACACTAGCTTAATAAGAGAAACCTCTTTCCAAAAATAATTTTTTAAATGAAACAACTTACTTTGACAATTACTTTAGAGTACTAATCAATTTCTGAATAGGAAGGAAAATGTTTTATAAACTAAAAGGAGTAAGGTACATAAACCTTCTTTAAAAAGTTGTACTATTTGTATCCTCTACTTTTATCAATATATCAAGGTATATATTATATTTTATCCTAGAGAATAAAATGAAATATTCACTCATTCCTTAAATATTCTTAAAACATGAAACAATGGGCGCCTGGGTGGCTCAGTCGTTAAGTATCTGCCTTCAGCTCAGTTCATGATCCCAGGGTCCTGGGATTGAGTCCCGCATCGGGCTCCCTGCTCAGCGGGAGGCCTGCTTCTCCCTCTCCCACTCCCCCTGCTTGTGTTCCCTCTCTGTGTTTCTCTGTCAAATAAATAAATAAAATCTTTAAAAAAAAAAAGCAAAACATGAAACAAGAATGACATATCACAACAAAGGAAAACGCTCTCAAATATTTTTATGTTTCTTAAAAATTTAAAAAGCAAGCATCTGGGGTGCTTGGATGGCCCAGTCAGTTAAGCGCCCGACTCTTGATTTCAGCTTAGGTCATGATCTCGGGGTGGTGGGATGGAGTCCCACGTGGGCTCTGAGCTCAGCAGGGAGTCTGCTTGAGATTCTCTCTCTCTCTCACTCTCCCTCTGCCCATCCCCACCACTGCATGCAAGGGCACAGATGCGTTCTCTCTCTCTCTCTCTCTCAAAAATAAATATTAAAAATAAATAAAAAGCAAGCTTCTTACTCTTCACCTACATTTTGCAATAAAAATTTCCAGACTATTTAAGGTTTTTTAATTTATGAGGCAAATAGCCAGGGACAACACTGTAAGATTATCTACCTGAGAAAATATTGATGTAGAACAGCCCTTGGCATCAGAAAAACTTGTGTTCCAACTTTAGCTTCACTTCTTAGTTCTGTGACTCAAGCCTATAATACAGGAGTAATTATCCCTACTCACATAGGATTGTTGTGAGGATTAAATGAGATTAAATTCAGGGACACCTTAAAACATGGGAGGCACTAAGCATTAGTCCATTTTGGGAGGCACTCAGCATTAGTCCATTTGGCTCTCATCCTTTCCCCCACCTTCTATAAATTCTAGGGGAATCCTGATACAACTCTCAAAATATATGGGTTCTCTTTATCGATCCAGACATAAGCCCTGGATCCCACTGACAATTACATTCCCTATTCAGAATACCTCCCTATATTGCTACAATATCGCTACAATACTGCTACAATGTTCACAGCCCTCAGGGAAACCCCTAAGGAAGAATCTTGTTGAAAGACTGAACTATAAAATATGCAAAGATCTCATTTAGTCTATAAAATAGAATTTAGGGAGGGAAATGGGAAGGAAATAGTAGCCAAAAACTGGAACCAGATGCAAACTAAAGTAAAATCAAAATTATTTCCTTATAGTGATATGGCTATTTAATGGTAACAAAAATGTCTTCTACTAGGTAATAAAATAAGCCATTTCCATTTAGTAAAAGAACACCTTTTCTATAAAACAGAAAGGGGTGCTTTTCCAAAACCAGGTTTTGTTGTTTCATCTACTTCTTTTTTAATTTTTTATTGTTATGTTAACCATACATTACATCATTAGTTTCTGATGTAGTGTTCCATGATTCATTGTTTGTGCATAACACCCAGTGCTCCACGCAGAATGTGCCCTCTTTAATACCCATCACCAGGCTAACCCATCCCCCCACCCCCTCCCCTCTAGAACCCTCAGTTTGTTTTTCAGAGTCCATCATCTCTCATGGTTCGTCTCCCCCTCCGACTTACTCCCCTTCATTCTTCCCCTCCTGCTATCTTCTTCTTTTTTTTTTCTTAACATATATTGCATTATTTGTTTCAGAAGTACAGATCTGTGATTCAACACTCTTGCTCATCTACTTCTGATAAGCATTTTGCTTTTGATTATTTAGGCCCTGGTGTTTAGCATACTAAGGGAATAAAGAACTTATCAACAGAGAGCTACCACAGGTAGGTATGAATGTACAGGGATAAAAAGAAGGAAAATATACACAGGAGTAAGAGAAAAGTATAACTATCATAATCATTAATTTATTCTTTATTGTTCCTATGTCCTCCCATGTTGCTCCGAACAGGCACTCAGTGTCCTGGCAGTTAGAGCCTACAAATCACCAGCAACAATTTGAAAAGCAGCACTGGGAGGCTGCTCAGTGGAGACGACTGCCCTGCTCTGGTGGCATGCTTCTGGGGCACTCAACCCAGATTAACATCCCACAAAGAAGCACTGTGTGTTGTGGGAGAGAACACTGACCATGTCTCCCCGATTTTAGATGAATATGAGATCTAGAGTACTGTCCAAATGATAATACAATCTGAAAAATTACAAGTTACATTACAAAAGTTTAAGATAGGAAACCCAAAGATCAATGTACCAAATGAGTAATGTAGCCAGTAAATCAAATACGTAAAACAATATAGAAGGTAGAGAAGAAAAGGACAGACACTGGATTTTCAAGATTATAACATCCCACACATTCAGTATATTGAGATTATATTGCAATACCTTAGTTTCCTATATTAGACAGAGGTATCTTATTTCTCATCCCATATATCTCTTCTACCAAAAATAGTATCAAATGTCATAGATCCATCATATACTTGACTTCAAATTTAAAATCTTAATGTTTCATTTTTCTCATAATTTTGATTTTCTTTTTCATCAGAATGTGATGAATTTTGGAAGATAATGTCACTGTAATTGAAAATAACTGCTCCCTTTATATTCTAAAGAATTCAGACAAAATCATTTATGGTAATTTCATATCAAAATAGAAATTTAACATTCACCAAGTGTCAAAGATCTTTCCCATTGAAAGACCACTCACTAGAATGTTCAAACAAAATGACAGAGAGTAAACTATAATGCTCCCACCAGGAATTTGTTTTTCTTTCACTTGAACACTCTCAGGAGTAGATCTGAGACCTCTCCAGAGCACATTTTTCATGGGGTTTAATATCTATTCAGAAGAATTACATTACAATGATGACTAGAAAGAGTGTGCTCTAATTAGCTTGCTATTGACCTGACCTTTCTTAATTTTCTACAGTAGAAACATCAGCTGAAGTACATGAATAGAATAATTAGGAACTATACTTTAAAAATAATAAAATTATTACATGACAAGTGCAGCAAATGAAAAAAATTAAAAGCATCTTGTACTTTTGCTTTGTTTCTAAAGGAAATCACTATTTATTTGTAGTTAAGCAAAGAAATAAAACAATTACAATTTCTTGACCCTTCCCTACTCTTAATAGGCAGAAAAATGGCCAAATTAATCTACCAATGTTTAGAAAGTCTCTTTGTAAATGTTCAGAGGATCACATAAGGATAGATACTCAAAGAATCAAAGAGAAAAAAAGGTAACCAGAAGCATCCATCACTATATAAAAATTGTCAATACAGACTAAAGCACTCAAGGAACATAATCATAAAAAGCCTTTTGTAAATGCCTGCTCATTTTCATGCTACTGCACCTTTTAGTAAATAAAGGTCATATTTCAAATATGACAGGTGTAAAGATTTTGTACACATTAACCCGTGTTGGCTCAAGCTACACCAGAATCTCTCTGGCAGATAAATATACAATAAAAATAAAACATTGTAATCTATAACTTATCTTAGAACAATACTGTAGTAGCTTCTTGTCTCTGCTTTCATTCTTTCCATCTTACTTCTCATCTCTAGAGTATCCAAGTTCTTTAAAAATGTTTGATAAGTGTAACTCCTTTGCTCAAAAATCTCTAATGATTTCCCAACTCACCTGGAAGAGAATCTTCTATAAAGCCCTACATAGTTTAGCCTCTGGCAACCTCTTTAGAGTTATATGAAATACTTAAGTAAACCATGAAAAAAAGTACTGAAAAATAAATTAAAATGCATTTCTGACTTTGTTTCACTTGGTGACGTTTTAAAAAAGTACTAAAGGAAAATGTTACTTAATGTCATTTAATCGTACTATTTGTTCTTTTGCTTGGTTTTTTTGTTTGTTCATTTGTTTATTAAAAAGAGAAAACATTATATATGAAGTAAAAGTTCCTTTTGCCTCCCTCCCATCTCATGAATTTGTGTGGGTTTATCTAGGCCTATGGTAGTTATTAGCTACATATAACAATACATTTAAATAAAATTAAAAATTCAGTTCTTCACTCACATGAGGTAGGCACAATCCATGGACTCAACAGCTACATGTGGCTATTAAATTTAAATTAATGAAGTTAAAATTAAACAAAATTTAAAATTCAATTCTTCAGTTGTTCTACTCACATTTCAAGTGCTAGCGGCTACTGTGTTAGAGCCAATATAGAGTATTTCCGTCACTGTTGAAAGTTCTATTGGACGGTGCTGCTGTAGAACTTGTAATACGTTTACTCAAGAGTTATGTACCCTTTAAAAAAAGTGTTATGTTTTTAGAATTAACATTAATGCTTTCATATTGTATATCTCTCTACAACCTGAATTTTTTTCATATGTTTATAAGTCTAAGAATCTGGTTCATTTTAACTGCAGTATAATATTCCATCATAACACATTTTTGCCACAAGTAGACATTTAAGTATTCTGCAATTTTTCAATAGTGTAAACAATGTCATAATAAATGTCCTTAAACACGTGTCCTGATACACATGTGTAAGAATTTCTCTAAAGTGAATAAATGGAATTGCTGAGTCACAGAAATTAGGGCATTTTCAACTTTACTAGATACTGTCAAACTGATTTCCAAAGTGACTTCAACCATTTATATTCCACATGCAGTGTGTTCATTCAACATATATTTATGGTCTTCTATTTGCCAGGTAATGTTCTAAGCACTTAGATAAAATCCTTAACCAATTCCCACACCCATATCCACACCCACACCCCACCTACAGAAAAAAGCTTACGTGAAAATTTCTGCTTTCCAAAATTTTCATTAACACTTATTAATACAACAGACTTTTGTTTAAAAAAAATCTAATACTTGTTTTAATTTTCATTTCTCTGACATACATTGAAGTTGACTATCTTTTCCTATGCTTGCTGGCAGTTGTTCTATGTTCGTGTTCTTTCTTCTATGAGGTTGTCTTTTTTTGTCTTACTGATTTGTGGTTCTGCTAAATATGCTGCAGATGAATATGTTACAAATATCTTCTGTCCTATTGCTTGTCTGTTAAGTTTGATTTTTTATTGTCTTTGTTGGGACAAGAGTAATGCATTGAAGCAGTCAAATTAGCAATCTTTTGAGTTTTGCTTTCCTATTTTGAGGTCATACAAATTATCTTTTAAAGAATATTTTTTGGGGGCTGTCTTCTGTGTGTCTGACATATTTAATCCTTTTAAGAAACATCTAAGGTAGGTACTAATCTCATTTTAAAGATATGGTAATTGAAATTTTTATTGTGGTAAAATATAAACAACATAAAATTTATCATTTAACCATTTTTAAGTATACTGTTCTATGGCATTAAGTACATTCACACATTCACATTTGTTGTGCAACAAATACAACTATCCATTTCCAGAATTTTTTGTCTTCCTAAATTGAAACCCTGTGACCATTAAACACTAACCCACTTCACTACTTCCCCCAACCTCTGGCAACAACCATTCTACTTTGTGTCTCTATGAATCTGACTACTTAGTACTTCATATAATCGGAATCATTCAATATTTGTCCTTTTGTGACTGGCTCATTTCACTTATCATCATGTCTTCAAGGTTCATCCATGTTATATCAGATGTCAGGTTTTTCCTTCCTTTTTAAGGTTGAATAATATTCCATAGCATGTACATATCACATTTTGTTTATCCACTCATCTATCGCTATTACACAAGTTGCTTCCACCTTTTGGCTACTGTGAATAATGCTGCTATGAACACTGGTGTACAAATATCTATTTGAGTCCCAGCTTTCAATTCTGGGGGAATATACAATGACAGAAATAGAATTACTGCATTGTATGGTACTTTTATCCCTAATTTTTTGAGGAACCACCATACTGTTTTCCACAGAGGTTACATAATTTTACATTCCTACCAGCAATGTACAGGGTTTCAATTTCTCTACATTCTAATCAACAACTGTGATTTATTTATTCTGGAGAAAAAGAGCACGTGCACAGGGAGGAGCAGAGGGAGAGAATCCTCAAGCAGACTCCTTACTGAGCATGGAGCTGGAAGCAGGGCTCCATCTCTTGACCCATGAGATCTCCACCCATGAGATCACGACCTGAGCCGAAACCGAGTCGTACACTTAACAGATTGAGCCACGCAGGTGCCGTGAGAAATCATTTACTTTTAAGCTTTTACCTTGGCTGTTTCTAAAGCTAAAATGGACCCAAAGACTTAAACTAAAATGTTTAGAGACTGGAGACTATGATGGTGCTTTGGCTATGCCTATCTCTTGGGTTTTATCTTCACAGGTTTTGGAAAGTTTAGTTGCCAAGATGTAAGTTGGGATAGTTATAATCAAGTAGCCAAATTACAGCAGTAAATGCTTTTAATAAATCATCTCATGTCTTATAGTAATTCCAAGTTCATAAACACTTTAGCAAATAAAAAAATACATTTGAAATTTAAAGCTACTAGTTAACAAATTTTAATACTTCTAACAAAACATCTGTTTGTGGGGCGCCTGGGTGACTCAGTCAGTTAAGCCTCTGCCTTCAGCTCAGGTCATGATCCCAGGGTCCTGGGATTGAGCCCCACATGGGGCTCCCTGCTCAGTGGAGAGTCTGCTTCTCCTTCTCCCTGTGTGTGTGTGCTCTCTCTTTCGAATAAACAAATCTTTAAAAAAAAAATGTTTGTTTCTACTTTAAACTACTAATACGTTTATACTGGGGATGCCTGGGTGGCTCAGTCAGTTAAGCGTCTGCCTTTGGCTCAGGTCACGATCCTAGGGTCCTGGGATCGAGTCCCACATCAGGCTCCTTGATCAGAGGGGAGCCTGCTTCTCCCTCTGCCTGCTGCTTCCCCTGCTTGTGCTTGCTCTCTGACAAATAAATAAAATCTTTAATAAATATATTAAAGTCCAGTGAAAAGGGAACCAAAGGCAGGCCAACAGACTTGGTAATTTGAGCAATTCCAGAAAAGTAATGGAAGAGGAAGCCAGTATATAACCTCAGAAGAGTCGAAGGTAAGGAAGTATAATCTGTAAGTATAAGCTATTATTTCAGGAATTCTAGAAATAAATAAAAGGCTTAGGGTCAGGGTACAGTAAAGTTTTGTTGTTTTTTGGATACAGACAAACATTTTTGTATGCAGAGAAAGGGGTCAGTGCATATGAGCAAGGTTTCAAGAGAAGATGGGATCAGAGAATAAGTGGAAAGATTAGCCACGGAGAAGAGAAAAATCACTTCGTTTCAGAGAAAGTTCAGAGTTGTTAGAATGAAGAACCCTGTTCTGTTTGTATTCTCATGTTTTCAAAGGACCATGTGCAAACTTACCAACAAGTATCCTGCCCCCATCTATAAGGAAATTCTGACTTTTCCATTAAATGGTAAGATAGTAACATTACCCATTTATTTTTGGAGGGATAAAACTGCTTATGTCTCCTTTTCCACTTTTACTGGCTGCTATGCATTACTGAATGGAAAGAGTAGCTTTTAACCCAAATATTTTTTACTTTATTAAAAAAATAAATAATACATATTTTATTCCTGTATATTAAAAAATATACTTAACATCTGTTGCAAAATTACATCTTAAATCTAGAACAAAAGTAAAATAAAAAAATTTTTTTTAAGATTTTTATTTATTTTTCAAGAGAGAGAGCACGAGCATGAGTTGGGGGAGGAGCAGAGGGAGAGGGTCAAGCAGACTCTGCCCTGAGGGCAGAGCCCGACACAGGGCTTGATCCCTGAGATCATGACCTGAGCCAAAACCAAGAGTTGGATGCTTAATAAACTGAGCGCCACCCAGGCGCCCCAAGAGTAAAATAAAATTAAAAAAAAAATTAATCACTGAACACTAGTATTTGATAAAGGAAATATCACAGAAATAAGCACCCCACAAATTATCCCATTGAGAGTTTGTCATCTAATTGGGAAGATGAAACACACACTTGAAATAATAGATTCTAAATAACATATTTTTAAGTTCAAATAAGGATAGAGGACACATGAGGTGATTAAATTATCAGGAGCCAAGGAGAGGTTATTGAACCAAACTTAAGTTTTTCACTTCCTACAAAGGTTTGCAGTGGTCACTGAGATATGATGTAGCTCAATTTGTGGTCAGTAAGACTATATTTCACATCCAGCAATTTCCCAGCATGACTTTCTAGCATGGATATATAAATTTATTGCATCTAATGCTTAAGAAAAGGTATTTTGGCATTTAAATTTGCTGCAACTTCCTTTAAGAATTCTACTAAGGCAGGTGCGCCTGGGTGGCTCAGGTCATGATCCCAGGGTCCTGGGATCGAGCCCCGCATTGGGCACCCTGCTCAGCAGGAAGCCTGTTTCTCCCTCTTCCACTCCCCCTGCTTGTGTTCCCTCTCTCGCTATATCTCTCTTGGCCAAATAAATAAATAAAATCTTAAAAAAAATAAAATAAAATAAAAGAATTCTACTAAGGCAATATCATTGCCTATATTTTGCAGGTAAATTTGCAGTACCTATGTTATTACCTCAGCTCACTTCTGACACTTTGATATGCTTTAACATTGTTATTGCTAATTTCAGAATAAATGAGGGAATTCTAGAAGCTATCTAGAATGCTTACGAAAGCATGGAAACAGCTTTGGAAGGGTCAAGTTTCGAGAGGCTTAGGCCTCTTTTTTTTTTTTTTAAGACTTTATTTATAGGGAGAATGAGAGAGCATGTGCACATGTGGGGTGGGGAAGAGGCAGAGAGAATCTCAAGCAGACTCCCCACTCCACTCAGAGCCCGATGCACAGCTCAATCTCAAGACCCTGAGATCATGACCTCACCCAAAATTAAAAGTTGGACACTTAACCAACTGAGCCACCCAGGCACCCCAAGGCTTAGGCCTCTTAAGAGAATGGATTACAGAGATCTTACAAAAATGAAGAATCATAAAGAAGTAGGCTGATAGTAAAGAACAGGAGAAATAAATAGTCAACACTAACAAAAGTAAAAATAACTAAAAAAAAAAGGAAAAATAATTGAAGTCTATAAAGGATGCAACACAGAATCACGAAATGATTCCAACTTTCTAAAAGGAAAAGGTTTATTAGTAGAAGCCATGAGACAGACCTACTTAAGGAATTCTTATGAAAGTGCCTCCATGCCTAAAATACCATGAAATCCCCAAAAAAACTGTTTCTTTCCCAAAATACAGACCACTTTAAATGAAGGAAAACAAACTGATTGACCGTGATATGAAAATGAGGGAAAGCTGGTAGCTAAAAGGGTTAGAAAAGTAGGTTATAAAAATATTCCCAAAATTTAGTCATAAAACATTATGTTACATAAAAGTCTCAGGAAAGGAGAAACATATAGTTATCACTTTTGTGAATGGAGGACTGGAAAGATAATCAGTGTAGAACTCAAAAAAGGCAAAAATTTCTGCTTCACCTAAAGCAGAATATTCTGAGATCAAAAAATCTATCTAGAGGCCATTTGCCCAATAGCAAGAAACAAGACAGATGATAATATTAAGACTGAAAACAAATTTAATTTTAAAAAGAATGTAAAAGAAACCATACATACCAAATTTAGAGAAAAGAGGTATTACATATTATTTCAGCCATGTATCATAACTAACAGAAGGAATTTACCAGTATTAAAACTGTACATACAAACATTCTATGGGTCAGTTTTCTGGATCTTGCCAAGAATATGCCATGCTTACTTTTTCATGTGTTACTTCTAAAGTCTATGTTGTAAACCCAGAAATAAGATATTTTGACTTTTTTTTTTTAAAGGCAAGTTTGAGAATCTTACATATCCCCAAATTTTAAATTAAAAAAATGGAGAAAATTCTTATTCCTAGGAGAAAATTAAATTAAGATAATAGAAAATGTTCCCCACATGTTATTTAGTGTTGCAATACAACAACTAGCAATAAGGTAAGCTTCTTACCGTAAGGTTATCTGTGAGATGATTTTCTTGGGAGTGATTTCTTTCTCTTTGGATAACTACAGAAAGATGTGTAGTCTACAAACAAAGAAATACTGAAAGTCTATATACTAACCTGGCCCAGTCCAGGCATACCTCCTCCAAGTCTAAGAAGTCTGTCCATATTTCTAGAAAACAGAAACAAAGGAAAACGTTCCTAAGCACAAAAGTGTTTACTCAATTGCTATCTATATAATTCACCTTCAGTCACTCAGTATGTCAAAAATATTGGTGGTAATTACAACACAACATCAGACTTCCTGTTAATTAACACCACATATTAATTCAAGAAGCTGTCTTCCATGCTAATTAACAGACCTTACTTTACTGCTTTGGTTTTGGGTTATCCCTGGTTTTAAAGACAAGCAGTCTTAGCATACTTTCAAAACTTTGCTATCATTAAGTTAATTATATTTTCTCATTGTTATCTAATAAAGTACCTGAATGAGGAAAAAGTGCCTGAAATGCTTATCATATGTATGATTGAATTTCCTTCAATTTGTTCAGAGTGTACAAATAAAAATCCTCACTTTTAAATTAAATTTTAACATCCTCATTAGTAAGTTCTGTGCTAATTAACTTACAGCTTGTCAGTTATCATCAAAACTACATGTGAAAGACATTGTGAGCAGATTATGGATCTCTGAATTAGCATCAAAGGCTTTTTTAAAATGAACTCATTATACTAAAAGAAATATTATAAAGTAAACATTAAATGCATTAAGATAGTGTTCTAGAACCTACACAGATATTTTGCCTTATTTCAGTTGTTGTGGAGATATATACCTTTTTCACTAAGGAAATTCAGCTGTTCTTCTCAATGATAATTTTAGAGTTAATCAATACAAAGAAGATTAACTTTAAAGTATCAATCTAATTTGTTTTTTATGTCTAGAATAACTATAGAAGACATTCTTATAAGCTTGAAAAACTCAGAAGAAATCAAAGGAAAGAAATAACAAGGGTATCGATATGACCTCAACTACACAAACAGTGTAACCAAATTCTAAAAAGTTAATATCAGTACAACTAAATACTTTAAGAGTGACAATGAAGCATTTTCTTTTACTTGAAAATTGCTACTGTGCCTTAAAATTCCTTTTCTAATATATGCTTTAGAAAATGGTATTACTACAATTTATATTCTAAATTAAATGCTAATGAATTAGTCATTTGTTCACATTCTTTTACTAGTTAGAACTGCTATACAAACTAAAAATTAATAATGTACTCATGATCATTACACTACAGCCTAATCACGTTTGTTGGATCCTGCTAACAATTTATTCCTGTATTTAACAATGCTAATACTGCGAACTTTATTCAAGTCCACATACAGAAAAATGCACAAATGACAAAGCCATGGAATCTTCACAGAGTGAACACACTCCCATAACCACCACCTAGATAAAGAAACAACATTATGGGCACCTAAGAACACCTCTCATACCCCCTTTCTGGTCCCTACCACCGTGCAAAGATAGAATTTCAACCTCTAATGGCATAGATTAGTTCTGCTGTTTTTGAATTTTATTTTATTTTAAAGATTTTATTTATTTATTTGAGAGAGAGAGAGAGAGAGAGAGAGAATGAGAGATAGAAAGCACGAGAGGGAAGAGGGTCAGAGGGAGAAGCAGACGCCCCGCTGAGCAGGGAGCCCGATGTGGGACTCGATCTCGGGACTCCAGGATCATGACCTGGGCCGAAGGCAGTCACTTAACCAACTGAGCCACCCAGGCGCCCCTGTTTTTGAATTTTATATAAACAACAATTTATAAACAACTTTATATCAACAAGTCTGTGAGATTCACAATGGATAAATTCATTTTTAAAAAAGACATAAAAAAACTTGTTAGTCTAGACAAAGTTTCTGCTTTATAACCTTAACACATTCTAACAGCAGCATTTACAAACAAAAATCTCCATTAAATTCTCATTAAAATTCCTCAACTCAAATATAGCATTCAATACATGGCATTTTTTAAAGGCTTATAAACAGAGGGGCAAAACCTGACTAGTTTAAAATATTAAAGACATTTCTCTAGAATGTATTACCAAAGGAAAAAAAAATTCTTTTGGACCATTTCAAGCTTTAAAAGAACAAATAGAAAAAAGCTAACAACATACAGTATGCTTTAGACACTATATATATTCCAGGCCAAAGTCGATTCCCAGCTGTGTTCAGTTTATCTATTCCCCCAGTGTTGTTTCTTATGACTTTACACAGACTCCAGATGCTGTGAATATACATGAGCAATGTGGGGAGCAGAGGGAAAGAAAATCTGGCAGGTCAAATTTGTGTTTTTAGTAAAATTAGATGTCTCAGCAAACAAGAAAAAATATTTAACAAACTAAAACATTTTAGATAACATAATGAAGTTTAATAAAAATACTAACATTTGGAAATGAAATATATCAATAAATGTTGTATATCACACTACTTTTTTAAAAAAGTTTATAGAAAGCAAAGAACAAAAGTGCTAGTTATCTAAATGACTTTCATGAGCTCTTAAATCTGGATATCACATATTTATAATTTGATGTGTGTTTAAAAAATGGTACATTTTCATAACATCTTTATATCATATCCTGAAAGAACAGGTGAAAGTTATATACATTCTTAATTCTCACCTGGTCAGTAACTACAACTCTTGAGGTGTTAAGCTTCAATTCGTTGAGTTTGACAAATTTCTTCTCAACTCAAGCTCTTGCTAATACTGGCAGGTATAACTTTTCCCAAGTATTTTTTTTCTCTCTCTCCTAAAAAAAAGTAAATAAAATAAGATATAATTACTTTGAGAACTATGGAGGAAAATATGCCACGAACTTTAAATGAGACAAAATTCCTAAAAGCAAAACAGAAATCAAAACTGATTTTAATCACCATTTCCAGAAGAATATGGAAAGAAATAGCATTCTAGGGAGCTATAGTGCAGAGGATTACCCCATATACAAATTCTGTTTTTAAGTTTCTTTTTTGAGCAGTTCTAATTATATGTAAGAACTGACATTTCATGACTTTTAGTCTTTCTAGTGGTGTTTCAAAGAACAAAAAGAAAATTTACTCATATTTTTAAACAGAACATTCTATTGTGTAATTACCATATAGTTCCATTGCACATTATTACAAATCCATGACATACTATGGAATCTTAGTGATGTTATTGCCTATATTTGAAAGTTTGCTATTTCATTATCATAGGAATTAGTTCATCATTTTTTAGTCAATCATTCCCAACTATGCCAAAGTAACAAGAAAATGGAAGAATAAGAATTATTCAAAATGATGCAACAGTGAAATACATTATTGCTATTGCTTCATCCTCCAGTTTTTATTGTGCTGCCCAAAGCATTTCACCATCTTTCAAAAAGAAAAGACTAGAGACACAAGCTTTGTAGTCTTTTTTTAGCTTTCATTTGAACACAGTTGAAAACTCAGAATTTTTCATATTCTATCCATAATGTCAAAGAGGGAAGAACAGAGAAAAAAAGTTTCCTAATGATTAGAGAATCATAAGGTGAATGTAAAGAAACTGGTAACAACACTCTAGTCTCTAATGATAACAATAAAATTGATGGTATAAGCCAGGTTTCTTCGGCACTGTTGACATTCAGAACCAAATTTTTTGCTGTAAAGGACTGTCTTGTGCATTACAGGATGTTTGGCAGAATCCCTGGCCTTTACTCATTAGATGCTGGTAGCACTGACCCAGTCGTGATAATCAAAGGTGTCCCCAGACATTACCAAATGTCCCCTGGAAGGGCAAAATCACTCCCAGTTCAGAACCACTGATAGAAACAAAATTTCAGACTATACACCTTCAGATGACAATACCCTAGATTAATTTTCTCAAACTTAAGAACCAAGGAGTGATGGAAACAGTTTGGGAGCTCTTCAAACAATTCAACAAAGAATTAGCATATGACCCAGCAATTCCATCCCTAGGTATATATCTGAAAGAATTAAAAATAGGTATTCAAAACAAACACAGGTACATGCATGTTTAGAGCATCATTATTCACAACAGCCCAAAGATGGAAAAAGCCCAAATGCCCACCAAAAGGTGAAAGGATAAACAAATTCTAGTATGAATACACATACAATGGAACATATGGAATATCATTCAGCTATAAAAAGGAATGTAGTACTGATACACATGAGAATGTGGATGAACCTCAAAACATTATGCTATGTAAAAGAAGACATGCACAAAAGGTCACAAACCATATGATTCCATTTATATTAAGTATTCCAAATATCTGAATCCTTAGAAAAGGAATACAGATTAGTGACTGCCAGAGGTTACAGGAAAGGAGTAATATGGAGAAACTGCTTAATGGGTAAGGGATTTTACTTCAGAATAATGGAAATGTTTCGGAACTAGGTAGAGGTGGTAGTTGCACAACACCGTGAATCTACTAAATGACAATGAACTGTTCACTTTATTTTTTTAAAGATTTATTTATTTGAGAGAAAGAGAAAGAGAGAGACAGAGAGCAAGCACATGCCCGCTCATGGGAGAGGGGAGAGGGAGAGACAATCTCAAGCCGACTTAAAGCTTGGACGCTCAGCTTGATTTCATGACCCTGAGATCAGGACCTGAGCCAAAACCAAGAGTCAGATGCTAAACCAACTGAGCCACCCAGGCGCCCCTAAATATTCACTTTAAAATGGTTAATTTTGTTACCTGAATTTCACCACAAAAATTATTTCCTAAGTGGATCAATGAGCAAACAATATATTTCCAGGACTAAAAAAGAAATAGGTTCTCATCCAGTTAGGTATTCAACAAGAAGGACTTCATCACACACTATTTTACAACAAGAACTTGTTTTGCTAAAGAGATATGTGACATATTCTTTTATCTTTTATGATGCTGATGAAGTTCACATGTGAACAAATGCTGAAGTGTCCACAAAGATGAGCAAAAAGAAATAGATAATGTAGAAGTGAAAAAAATCATTGGACTAACTTTAACTGTTTATAAATCTAAAAGAAAAAAATGTTTTGCAAGCAGAGATGATAGCCATAGTCTCTTCAACAAAATTATGATCTATGTTTTCAAAAGTATTGCAGCTGGGAAATGAAAAAGTTCCAGAGATGGATGATGGTGATGGTTGTACAACATAAGTGTACTTAAAGCCACTGAACTGTACATCTAAAAATGGTTAAAATGGTAAATTTTATGTTATACATATTTTATATGCAGGTTAAGAGCTATGACTCTGCAATACAAGTGCCAGGATTCAAATCCTGTCTCTGATACTTATTAGCTGTGTGTCCTTGTCTCAGTTACCTCCCTGAGCCTGTTTCCTCATCTGCAAAATGGGGATACCTTACAGCTGTTTAGAAAATTAAAGAAGACAGTGGACATAAACAACATTTAACATAATGCTTGGTGTATAGTAGGTAAACAATGAGTGCCAGTTGCTATCAGCACCACCCTCCTTAGCAGGGCTACAGTTCATACAACACAGATTCTTCTTCCTACATAGTTTGCCATTTAGTGAATTTCAAAACAATAGGCACATTTCACAGTACTAAATGAATTATACTGGAGAGGAGGGACTTGCATTTTGCAGGATTTAGCAAAAGGGTTAATAAAATTAAAGTGTTACACTATAATATGGAAGACAATTCTTAGAAATAAAAGCCATACATAACACCTATAGATCTAAAGCAAGCTTTTACACCTATCAAAAAACAGAGGACTCAAGAGCTGATCATGAAATGATTAACTTTACTTAAAACATTATCAGATAGGGGCATCTGGGTGGCTCAGTAGGTTAAGCGTCTGCCTTTGGCTCAGGTCATGATCCCAGAGTTTCACATGGGGCTCCCTGCTCAGCAGAGAGTATGCTTCTCCCTCTGCCCTTCCCCGTTTGTGCTCTCTCTCTCAAGTAAATAAAATCTTTAAAAAAATTATCAGATAATATGAATAAAGTGTTTAGCTGTAACTAACATATCATACATAGAGTAACCTTTAGAGTCCTAACTGGTAAAGAGTACGAAATAAGCACTGGTACTTTCAAAAGGTTGTACATCAAAAAACTGATGATCTTCCACTTTTTCATCTCCCTACTGAGTTCATATCTGGTAAGAACCTGATACAGTTAGATTGTGTTCATGTTGGAACTAAAATAAATCAATTCTCAAATACTTACAGAAAACGTACAGAACCAAGAATAACTCTAAAAAACAGATCCTTCAAAATTAACTTAATCTGGATTTGGAATGTGGCAATTTTTTTTTTAACTTTTCAACCTTTTCACAAGGGACACTGTTGTCCCAGTAATTCATAACATTCAAACAAAATCATGAAGCTCTTAGTTGTTCGAGTTTATCATTGTTTTTCTTAGTTCATTTTGTACTCCCCAACCCATGCTGCAGTTTAGTTACATATTACTTCTCAGACTGATGCTAAATCCTTTCTTTACTCCAGATCTCACTGTATTTCTAATTCCTCTACTTTCTGATTTGTGGAAAGTAATTAGGAACTTCTTTGACTTTCTTAAGGGCTTTCTTCAATGGAAGAAATAGAAAGAGTCAACATTAAACTTAATTATATAAATAGCATTTTGAAAGCAAGATTTTTCCACTTTAGAACAGTGAAGATGGAACTACCACAATATCTTTTCTTGTGCTGTTTCCTAATTACAGCCTTCAATTAAACATTAAGTACAAGGTTCCCCCTCTATCCAAAAGCAGAGTGTTCCTATTAAAACTTTCCTAAGTGGAGGGGCGCCTGGGTGGCTTAGTCATTAAGCGTCTGTCTTGGGCTCAGGTCATGTTCCCAGGGTCCTGGGATCGAGTCCCGCATCGGGCTCCCTGCTCGGCGGGAAGCCTGCTTCTCCCTCTCCCACTCCCCCTGCTTGTGTTCCCTCTCTTGCTGTGTCTCTTTCTGTCAAATAAACAAATAAAATCTTAAAAAAAAAAAAAACAACTTTCCTAAGTGGAAATGGCATAAATCAAAGAAACAAATAACATTTTGTAAAAGCAAAAATCCTCTTCAGATTTCTTTCTGTTAGCAAAAAACAGGTATAATGCAGGCCTTCTGTAAAAGTGAAGTGGGGTAAAGCTAACTTTCAGACAGTAGGAGAAACCTGTACTACCTCGTTCATAAGGTGATACAGAAATAGAGGCACTAAGAAACTCGGTGACTTTCACTGAAAGAATTTATAGTCTATTTGGGGAGGCATGATATAAACCCATGAAAAATACATAAAGTGAAAGGAAGCAGTGTAGAGCCAGAAAGGCTGTGAAGGCAGTCAGACCTCAATCGGAATCCAAGCTTCAAAACCTACTCTCCAGGCGCGCCTGGGTCGCTCAGTTGAGCATCTGACTTCAGCTCAGGTCATGATCTTGGGGTGCTGGGATCGAGCCCTCCATCGGGTTCCTCACTCAGCGGGGAGTCTGCTTCTCTCTCTCCCTCCGCACCCCACCCACCCCGTTTGCGCTCTCTCTCTCTCAAATAAATACAGTCTTTAAAAAACAAGCAAACCTACTCTCTGTATGATCTGGAAAAAGTTACCTTCTTCTAGAATCTAGATTTCATCTATAAAATGAGGACAATACCTACCTTGCAAGTCAGTGATAAGATAAAATACAAAGAACCTAACACAGGGCCTGGAACATTTATAAGGTACTCAGTAACTGCTGTTACTGTTATTGTTATCATCATCTTAGAACCAGAAGCTATTATTTAATCCATCTCTCATTTTACTGATGGAGATGCCAAAATATCACAAAGCAGGATATGAATGTCAAATGAGTGCAACAACCTGGGTATGTGACAAGTTCATGAGTAATAAATCTCATGAATATTCAGGTAAGACTTTCAGAAGTGGACACTGAATTATGAAATGAACACTGCTATAAAATGAAAAACAAAAACACAATTGCCTCTCGTTCCTGATATTCAAACATGGGTTCTAAACCTACATAGTAAAGGCAAGGTTTACATGACAAGCATAAAAATAAAATAAACCCATGACAGAGAGGTTAAAATGCAGCTTTACAATTAGAATAGCAAAATATTATTTACCAAGCACCTTGGGGGGGGGGGGAGAATAATACCCCAAAGTCAACAGGTGAGGCTTCATTGAAAGATAACTTCAAAACCTTCTTCCGTGGGCCAGAAGTAATTTTGTTCTGGGACAAATTCAAGACAATATTCAGGCCTTTCACTAAATATCACTTCACTAAACACAACTGTAGTTAACTCTGAACTACTATACCTTAATCTCTCCAAATGTACAGTTACTCATTAAATTTAAATTTGTTTAAAACCTATAAACTTTAGGGCGCCTGGGTGGCTCAGATGGTTAAGCATCTGCCTTCGGCTCAGGTCGTGATCCCGAGGTCCTGGGATCGAGTCCCGCATCGGGCTCCCTGCTCCTTGGGAGCCTGCTTCTCCCTCTGCCTCTCTCTCTCTTTCTCTGTCTCTCATGAATAAATAAATAAAAATCTTTTAAAAAAATAAAAAATAAAAGGAAATGACATTTAAATAAATAAATAAAACCTATAAACTTTAAATGAGCCAGCTGCTAGCCTTACATGACAAAAACAAGGAAACCACCACTGTCTTAATCATCTCCACTAAAACTGTATTCAGTTCTTTTTTGTTCTTTCAACATTATCAGTGACTGTCTTCTGGCTTTCCACATAATAAACAACTTAGCAGCACTAAAAACATATTTTTGTGGGCAATAAAAAAAATAATTTTCACCCTAAAACTGCATTTCTATTCTAATTATTAAGGCTTCTTCCCTGCCTTTCCCATGAATCTTTATCAACTTTTAGTTACCATTTTTAATTTCCAGAATTTTTCATTCGGTCGCTAAATTTATATTCAAACTCTTCCGAAAAGTTTACATTTTTTCTTCTTTTGACAGACACAAAGTAAGTCCCCAGGAAAAAATAAGGTCCAAGAGGTAACACAGAGTAGCAGATAACTACTTTATTGAAAACAGGAAATGTTATCTATTCACAACTACTCAATTAAGACAAACTGAAAGTAAGTTAAATGGCACAGCAGAAAAACCACACTTTGTTTTGAAGAGTTTCAAGGTTAAAAACCAGGGCATCTCTGGGGTTTCTGTTTGGTTTTTAAAGGGAATTGAAATCCTAACACTAAGAGAGAAAGAAAAAGGGTCAAGGCCCGTGAGAAGGACAAGTGATAAAACAAGCATGCCTTCAATGGGAAAGTTAATTTTATTCTGTCTCCCTTGTTTCCTCTGCCAGCTTTGAAGTTTTTCAACACGGGAGTAACTATCAATAGACACACACAAACGGAGGCCACACACAAGGGTTTTCCTGGTATCGGGAGAAGAGGGTTCCCAAGGTGTGCTTCATTCAGGGAAGCAGAAACGCCTGGAAGAGGAGACCACTTCCACACCTAACCGACAAGAGACCCGAGTAACCCGCGAGGAGGACGCAGAAGCCTGAGCTCCTCCCTCAGGGCCCAGGCCTCCAGTGGCAACTCGGCTGGGCAACGTGACTCAGGAAAGCACGGGGCTGGCGGCGGCCTAGCGCGGCTGCCTCCGCGGACCTCTGGGGCCTGCCTTCCCTGTCTTACCTGAAAGCCGGCGGGGTCGGGAAGCCGCGGTCTGGGCTCTCGTCTCCCACCAGCGGTGACGCGAAGACGACGGAGGCGGCAGCAGCGGCGGCGGCGGCGGCGGCTCAGACTCCACGGGGCTCTGGCTCCGCGAACCGGCGATGAATCAGCCCGATTCCATTCAAAAGAGTCGCCCGGGCCTCCGCCGCGAAGCACTTCCGGGTTCACTGCTCCGCTTCGGCTTCCGTTCCCCCCGACGGCCAATTGGAGACGGCTCGGGAGTCCGGCGGGCGTCCCGGGAGGAGAGCGCCAGACGGTGAGCGCGGGCCGCCCCGCTTCTCCAGTCTAGGCTGGGAGGGCCGGACGGAAGTTAGCGCCGGGGCCGCTCCCGCCCCTCCGTCATCCTCTCTTTTCTCCCCCCACCCTTTTCTCCCCTCTGCGAATCCAGGCCGCAGTCGCGATCTGGGACGCCGGCTTACTGGACCCTGGAGGTGACGGGCTAGGAAATGCAACTGCGGGCTTGGAGAAACCAGAACCCCGTTCGTTTGGGTGTTCACCGCGGTCCTTGAACTCAAAAACTGAAAGGTTCGTTTCAACTCAACTTGGTCGTCAGAGAAGCAGAAAAGAAAAGGAAGAGGTGTAAAAAGAGGGGAAATAGGTCAGAGGTTCTCTTCCACAGCGCAGTCTACCCACCTCCTTGTCTTCTCCGCTTTCCAGGAATTGGATTTCAAGGAAAACCAACGTTTCCCAAATGGTAAAACCACCCACTTTAAGCCCAATTTAACTTACAGGGCTTAAAAAAAATTATTACGTTTCTCCAAATAATTAGCAGCAACAACGTTTTGCCCATTATCTGTTCTGTGCTAGGTTTTCAGAGAGCAAAACCACTCAAGAAATAACTGATTATCTGGGTGGCTCAGTGGGTTAGGTGTACGCCTTCAGCTCCTGGGATCCTGGGATCGAGTCCCGTATCGGGCTCTTTGCTCAGTAGGGGGCCTGCTTCTGCTGCTCCCCGTCTTTGTTCTCTGATAAAGAAATAAACAAAATCTTCAAAAAAAATGACTGATGATCAACAAATTCATATCATATTTAGTTACAGGCTCTGTTTAGTTACACCAAGTCCCTCTCACTTTGTCAAATATGTTCCAAATAATAAGCATCTTTAAAGCATTCCTAAATCAAGAATGGTGATGAATCTTCTGGATGGAGGGGAAGGAGGAATTACAGCATCTGAATTCAAAGCTATTTGGGCATAATTACAAAGAATTTCCCTCTTAAAGATACTCCATTTCTATCTAAAAGAAAATAATAATACCTCAGTTATTTTAACCATAGGTAATACTGTATTTGAATCAGCATCTTAATGTGTCTACCCCAACCTGTGCCTCTTCTGTTTGCTTTTTTTTTGGTGAATGAACCCATCCTTCAGCTAGTTTCCCTAATCAGACCTGAGAGTAGACATATTCTCTCCTATGCATCTATTCCTACCTACCTCCCAATTAATCACCCTGTAAATCATTAAGTGCCTAATCTGTAAAAGAGCTTTTCTAATCCACCATTCACCTTTCTCCATTCCCTCTTCTCCAACCTTAACTTAAGCCTTCCTCACTTTTTTCCTAGAATGCTGAAATAATCTTAATCTCCTAGCCTCCAGTTTGTCCCCCTTAAATCCATTCTCCTTTATTAGCAAAGATTTTTTTCAGCTACACAAATACAGTCATGCCCCTTCTTTTTTTTTTTTAAGATTTTATTTATTTATTTTGAGAGAGAGAGAATGAGAGAGAGAGCACATGAGAGGAGGGAGGGTCAAAGGGAGAAGCAGACTCCCTGCCGAGCAGGGAGCCCGATGCGGGACTTGATCCAGGGACTCCAGGATCATGACCTGAGCCAAAGGCAGTTGCTTAACCAACTGAGCCACCCAGGCGCCCAGTCATGCCCCTTCTTTGCTAAAAATTTCACCAGTGACTCCCCCTAACAATTAATACAAAGATCGAAAATCTCTTAACTTTGTTTAGAACATCCTTGCTTCCAGCCACGCTAAAGTATTTAGGGAATGAGATGTCCATAGAAACTTTGAAAAACTCAGACATTTCTGGGGGTCTAGAAGGTAATACACATGCTTAGGGACATTTACATACCTAGCTAGGCCTGTGCGAATGCTCAGGAAAGACCTGAGAAGGCCCCAAGCTCTCACCTCTGTCTGACCTTGAGGCACTACAAGAGCAAGAAATAAAAACTAATACAGAGGTGTCAACTCACTGCCTGAGTGTTGAAGGCATGTCCCAATGCACATACTAAGACCCTCAGCAAAGACTAGGAAAATCATGGCTAAAATGATTTAAGGAAATCTCTGTCCAGTCATCAGATGACTGCTAAGCTAACTAAGCAAAGACTTCACTGGTCACACACAACAAAGAATATAGACTTAAGGAATGCATTCAAAAAGTCACTAAAACCAACATCCACTATAACAAACAGAAACAACAAAAACCCTGGGGAGGGAGCAGAATCTGATTTCCAGAATTGCCACATTATATTATTTGAAATGTCCAGTTTTCAAAATAAAGTTTTTTAAAGTACAATACATGCAAAGAAAAAAACAACGTATGGCCCATACATAGCGGAAAAAGCAATTAATAGAAACTGCCTGAGGAAGCCCATATGTTGAACTTACTACATAAAGACTTTATATAAGATATTTTAAATATATTCATAGAGCTAAAGGAAACCATGTCTAAAGAACTGGAGGAAAGAATGAGGAGAATGTTTCACCAAATAGATAAAATCAATAAAGAGATAGAAATTACAAAAAACAACAAGAATTCTAGAGTTGAAAAGTATAACTGAAGTGAAAATTCATTAGAGGGGCTCAGTAGCAGATTTGAGCAGATGGAAGAAAGAATCAGCAAATTCGAATACAGATTAGTTGAGGTGATCAAGTTTGGGGAACAAATAGAAAAGAAAATAAAGAAACATGAATAGAGTCATGGAAGTTTGTGGAACACAATCAGGCGTACCAACATATGTATAATAGGAGTCTTAAAAAGAGACGAGAAAGAGAAAGGACAGAAATATTTGAAGAAATAATAGTCAAAAACTTCCCAAATTTGATGAAGAACATCAATTTACACATCCAAGAAGATTAATAAATTCCAAATTGAATAAGCTCAAAGAAATCCATACCTAGACACATTATAATCAATCTGTTGAAAGCCAAAGACAAGGAGAGAATCTTGAAAATGTCAAGAGAGAAGCCACTCATCACATAATTCTCAATAAAATTTACAACCAAGGCTATGGAAGCAGAAAGCAGTGGCATGACATATTCAAAATACTGAAGGAAAAAACCATCAACCAAGAATTCTATATCCAGAGAAACTATCCTTCAAAAATGAAGGAGAAATTAATATATTTCCAAAATATATGTCTAAACAAAAATAGAATTCATCACAGGAAATCTACAAGAGATACTAAAAGGAGTCCTTCAGGTTGAAATAAAAGGACACTAGACAATAACGCAAATCCACATGAAGAAATAGAGGACGCTTGTGAAGATAACTGCATAAGTAAATATAAAAGACAGTATAAATATATTTTTATTTGTAATTCATTTTTTTTCTATTTGACCTAAAAGACAACTGCATAAAGCAATAAGAATAATTTTGTGTTGGCATATTATGTATAAAGATGTAATTTGTATCACAACAACAGCACAAAGGAGAGGGGAGGGAATGAAGCTATAGAGTAGTAAAGTTTTTGTATACTATTAAAATTAAGTTGGTATTAATCTGAACTACATTGTTATAACTCAGGAATTATAATCCCTGGAGCAACTACTAAGAAAATAATCAAAAGATATATAGTAAAAGAATGACAAGGGAATTCAAATGGTACACTAGAAAATATGTATTTAACTGAAAAGGCAGCAGTAATGAAGGAATAGAACAACAGTAAGCAACAACATATGCCATAAAGAAAATAAATAGCAAAATATCATGTGTAAATACTACCTTATCAGTAATTACATTAAATATAAATGGATTAAACATTCTGATTAAAAGACAAAGATCTGCAGAATGGGTTAAAAAAAAAGATACAACTATCTACAGTCCACAAGAGACACACTTTAGATTCAAAGACACAAAAAATATTGAAACTAAAAGATGAAAAACATATATATTATGCAAACAGTAACTAAACTAGTACAAGCACTTTGAACATTGTTCTGCTATTTTTTATTTTTATTTTTATTTTTATTTTGTTCTGCTATTTTTTAAATAAAATTAAAAAATACAACTACCATTTGACCTAGCAACTACACTGTATATATTTACCAAAAATAAATCAAAACATATGTCCACACCAAGATTTGAATGTGATAGTTTATAGCAGTTTTATTAATCATAGCTCTAAACTGGAAATAATCCAAATGTTTCCCAACTGGTAAATGGATAAAGTGTGATATGTCCTTACAATGCAATAATACTCAGCAATAAAAAGGAAACTAATGATATGTGCAACAACATTGATTACCTTCAAAAACATCATGCTGAGGAAAAGAAGTGAGACAAAAAAGAGTACATGCTATGTAACATCATTTTAACGAAACTCTAAACAAATGAAATCAAATATATAGTGACAGAAAGCAGATCAGTGGTTATCTTGGGGACTTGAAGTGGAGTCAGGTAGAAGAACTGATTGCATGGAGGAAAAGAACTTTTTAGGTTGTTAGAAATGTTCCATATTTTTTGTGTGTGGTGGTGGTTTGTCAAAACTCATCAAATAGTATACTTAAAATGGGTACATTTTATTGTATATTATCTATACTTCATAAAGTTGATTTAAAAGAAGAAAAAACCCTCAAATTTGTTATTGTATCTCTTTCCTTGGTTATACCAAATTATTTTGTAGTTAAAGCATGTTGTTTTATGCATCAGAATATTCAAACCTATTGTTTCTTCTCTCTGAAATGTCCTTCCTCCCATCTGCTATCCCCACAGTCCACCCCATCTTTTTGGAGAGTGGTTGGTTAATACTAGTCATGAATCTTACCCTACAGTCCTACTCTGTAATCTCTTTTTTTACTTGTCTGCCTTTCCATCTGAACTTTAAACTTCTTCAGAGCAGAGAACATGGTCTGGCCATAAATTGGTACTAAAAATTATTGTTGTCTGTTGAAGTATTACTTGTCCAAGTACTTTGCTTCCTGACTATACTCAAAAGGATCAGAAACATTTTAAATCCAGATATGGCTCCTCTTGAAACAATCAATTCTTCAAAAATTAACAACCAAATTTATGGAATTTAAATGGCCATATATCTGATACAAGTACTACATGCCTATGAATAAATCATTCATTGTTTG